TGAAGAGGGATTCTTCATGGGCTTAGGCTCTCCGAGCAAACTGGCCTCCTCTGATTTATCCAGAATAGCCGATACCAAGGCATTCAGAGGAGTGTATTGACTCTTGTCACGATCGTGACGAGGAACTGGGCCATAAGATTTCTTGGACTCATACTGTTGTTTCTTTTCTTTTCGTTGATCATCATTAGTCCATCTGCGATCAACCCTCATATTCTCCCCCTGGTCGGGAGCACTACCCGACGAACCGGGGTCATGGTGACTAAGAGCTGCCATAGAACTTTCAATCCGGAGGTACTCTTTAGTAAGGCTGTAGAAGCGAGTGAGGGAAACATCATCCTCAGATTGTAGTTACTTCCATAAGTCTGTCTACGGGCGAACTCCTACAACGAAGAGAGTCCAAACATCGAGAGTATGAGCCACTTTGTGGAACTCCCTGTGGAACCTGTCTATATAAGATTGGAGGGGTTCATCCCTCTCTTGCCGTATATTGCTCAGGTAGCTTAACGGCATTGAGAACTTCCTGTTCGCCTGGAAGTGCCTCAAGAATGTCAAGCTCATTTGAGGCCATGAGCCAACCGATCCTGCGGGAAGTGACCTAAACCAGCGCTTGGCATGGGAGGTAAGGGTTACTACTAAGCAACGAAATTTTGCCAAGTCAAAGACTTGGTAGAGTTCCATGAGGTTGTTGAACTCGTATAAATGATCCTGCGAATCAGAATTCCTATCGAATGCTCACATGTTGGGCATTCTGAATCTCGATGGGAGAGGGGCAGCTAACACTGTCAGAGAAAAGGGAGACGCCTCTACGACCTACCCTTGCTTATTCTGCTGAGCCCTAAGCTGATCTAGAGCTCGATGTAGTTCCTCAATCTGAGGCAGTGAAGCTACCTGGGGATCACTTTTCGCAACGTGGGTTCAATGCTCACGATTGCGGTTAAGCAAAGATCACAAATTGGACGCTTCCTCACCTCGACCGAAAGCTCTAGCCAATCTTGGCACACGCTGGCTAGAGCCGTGTGATTCGGGGAGTCTTCTTGACCTCCGTGGTGGTACGAACCGACCCGCAGAGGATGGGAATCCCCTGCACGATGACGACCGGAGTTGTCATTCTGGCAATATTAGGAATCTCCCCGCCTTGCATCTTTATGGGAGTGCCTGTGTGTTGTGGCGTGGGACGGCTCATGCTACGACATATCGCCGAGTCGCAATACCATAGGTATTCTACCTAGGGCGCGATTGTTGTTTGCTAGTCCCTTAGAGCCTTTAGGTCTATCGTACGCCACTTGCTTTCCCTTTCTTTGACTCGCTGCAGTGTGCGCGGTATGGGTTTTCGTCATTTTCTATGCGTTCACGTGACCTGCAGGCGTTTTTTACGGAGGCATCGCCTCATTGGATTCGGGTGGCATGACCCGATCCAATCGGTCTAGCCATTGGCAGACCATTTGAAGAGTATTATTGAACCTCTCCAGGAAACTCATGACGGCTGGGTCGAGCCGCGAGCTTGAAGGAATACCCCTCATGATATTCTGCTGGTCTGGCGGCATTTCGGGAGAAGTGTCCTCCTAGATCTGGGGGATTTCTTCATTGCCATAATTGGTTCGCTCAGATTTGAAACCATGACCCATTTGTTGTTGTGAGACCGATTAGTCAGAGATTTTTCTGATGAAAAGTAAGTACTAAATCAAGCCCTCCTTCTAACGTCAAACTGTTGATGCTTGATTTTAACACCAACTACTCACATGTGTAAAATGCTAAAATGACTTGGAAGTCACACGTGACATGAGGGGATTGAATCGAATAAAAGGTGAAGAGCAATATTTAAAGTGGTTCGGATGCTCTAAAATGAATCATACGTCCACTGCTATTGTATTAATAACAGAGAGTGATCAGGTCGCGTTCAGTGAGCTAAGTTACAGTTTAGAGAGAGAGAGAGAGAGAGAGAGAGAGAGAGAGCTATTTCAGCGTAAAATCAACTAATCCCCCCAAATGAGAGGGAAGTCCTCTATTTATAGTGGGAAAACTCAAGGTAATGATTATGAAAGCTGCAAGTGGGTAGGTGTCGTGCAAATCCTTTCTTTGCGTCCCATTGATCACTTGCCCGAGGGATTTTCTCGAGTAAAGCAGGGCTTTGACACGTGGACAATCTCCCGCCGTTTGCTGGCCTAGCACTCACATGTTGCACTGACAGGAGTCATGCCACTTGCGCTAGGCATGACGTGGCCACACCTAGACGGCGCAGATCCCTTCTAAACTCTAACCATCCTTTACTGACAAGGCTCTACGTCAGCCCTACTTTTTTCGACATAATAGAAATCAATATTTAAACATCGATCATTTAAGATTATTCATTTATAAATATGACATTACTGATTATTCTTTTCTAAAATCATGTTCAAATCCAATTATCAGGGACCTTTTTTACTTCAAATTTAAATCAATCTATTTTATCAAGTCTACATTTTTTAATCATATGAGACTTTGTCGTATTTATAATTTTTTTTATTTAATAATTAAAAGGATGAGTATATCATTAGCACGTCTATCCAATAAGATTGAACCATTGATTACACATATTAGAAAATCAATTAAATAGTGCTTTATTAAGTAAAAATAATATTAAAACATCATTAAACAACTGTATAAATGATATAATATGGAAATATTCTCATATATAACTAATTAACTATCTTTGATAATCTTAATTCTCAAAATGTCAAAGTTTTGTTTAATGGACAGATTTAACCTAAAAAATCAGATGACTTAACTTAATTACCCTTTATAAAAATAACAAGGACAAATAGTCGGAATATGTTAGACTACCAAAGTCTAACACCATCTAGCATAGTTTAGTATACTTTAATTAGACTGTTAAACCAAACAGTTGAATGCTAGATTCGATTTAGACTATCGAATCTAACATAATCTAGTGCTATAAATTAAGAATATATCATTTGTTATTTTATTAAAGGTATAATTAGCAAATCACTGAATTTTACAGTTAGATCTATCATTTGAATAATTTTGTACATTTTGGTTAAATGTGATTATTGAATTGACCATATATATCCAAACCCATATAATATATATGTTAGATACATTTGACAATACTTATATACAATTGTATTAAAAAATATATTTTACAGTTTCACATTATGATTTTACAAACATTATGCTTTTACAAACGTTAGGTTTATAATCTTCTCTCATATATTTATGCCGGGTCCCGAGTCGACTGATTGAACCGGTCAACCAGCCAAGTCAACCATGAAGTCAGCATGGTGACATCAAGAAAAAAAAAAGAAACAAATTTCAAAATTTAAGTTCTTTGAGAGAAATTCATTAACAAAGCATAAAGTAACATCAATATCATCCATGTTACAACTGATTTAGGGTTCAAAATTCATAAAGAAATTACATAACAATTAATACACATTTTAGCAAAATATGGTCTTCTTCACCCAATGATCTTCATTCTTCAATCCATCCTCAGTTCACCATATGTCAGATCACATATCATTATCATCATTATCAACATCATCAACACCATCTACAAAAAATTCCATCAAAAAATGAAAACCATAAGTTAAAACTTCTCATTTTAAAGTTTAAACTAATTGAATTTAATCTAGCTACCAAATTCAAATTGCTTTTTAACACACCAACCAAGCAAAACCAAAAACCCAGAAAACCTTAGCCCACACTAGCAAGGACTACAGTAACCAAAAACACACCTGCCAAGCAAATATCTGCCACAAAAGAGGGGACTGCAGTAGCCACAGACCCCATAAGCAGAAGAAGCTAAAACAAATTAGTTTGTTTGCTTCTTATTTGCTTTTACCTTAAGGCCCATTCTAAAGCATTATGATATAGGCTTATAGCAAAAAAATTTATAAACCACGACATTTGTTGCCAAAAGAGACACCCAGATAAACACAACCATAATCGACAATCAACGCCTCCATTCATTTACTTCAAACCAAAAACACAAACCCCCAGTCAAGTTCTCAAAAGAAAGGAAGAGATCAATAGACATGGGAAGATGAACTGGAGTTGACGACGAAGATAAGCTGCTGTCGAGGATGAAAGCAAGCCTCCACCTCTGATGAAACAAGGCTGCCGAAGATGAGCCACCGTCGTAGAAGGAGGAAATCGATGAGAGATGAAATGCAGAAGTTAGAGATCGACGGTGAAGAGAGGAAATCGGGTAACTAGGAGTCGCTGTGGAAGATTTTCCAAGCAAAATATCGAAGGGAAACGGCGTAAAATGGGTGAAAATCCTTCGAATTTAGGAGGAGAACGACGGTGAAGAGACGAAATCGGGCAAATGGGAGTCACGGTGGAAGATTTTCAGAGGAAAATGTCGAAGGGAAACGCCGAAAATTGGGGGAAAATGCTGCAATTTGAGTTTAGGGAATAAAAGGGTTTTTTTTTTTAAGTTGACCAGGTTTATTGGAAAAACGGTTAGACCAACGAGTTGATACAGTGCTTCCAGTCCAACCACTGGCTGCACTGGGTGAATTAAAATCTCCGATTCTTTGCATCAACCGGCCCAACCGACTCATTGGCCAGGTATTCGACCAGCCGGGCCGGGTTTTAAAAAATTGATTAAAATTATACATTGAAACTTCGATTAAATTGCCATTGAAAAACCATCAGATAACAAACAACTTATCCCGAGTTGAATACATAAGGAGAACTCTCCTTATTTTATGAGTAGAGAACTAGAAGTATAAGTCCCCACATTGTGCCAATTAGGGGCATTTTCGTCCTCACAGCAGGTTATGTGGTCATTTTATAATAAATTAACAAAAAATTATTATTTATGTACTTTACACCCCTACATTTTGTCATTCCCCTCCTCCTAAATTCCGTCCTTTTATCTATTCATGGAATAGCAAATAGAAATAAATACACAAGTAGAATGACAAATAAACCATAAAACACACAAAGCTGCAACTCTACTGCTTTTTTGCAAGAGTTTCTAAAATGGGGTTATCAAAATTCTAAAGCACATCACATTTGTCTTCTTATGTAAACTGAGTAAATTAAGTTGGTAACTTGACATCCAAATTTCTGTAGTAAGAGCTCCATTGTTTGAGCTGAAATTTGAATTTCAAGAGTACAGCATAACATAACATCATAGGTTAGCCGTTGTCAACAAAAAACGTTCCGTTCACAAAATGAGTTATTTCCCCGGTTCACACTTCTACTGTGAGTCCAGTTTACTTTGATTCTTCCTTACTGGTTGAAGCGTCTGAACGCCGCCTCTTGGCTTCATTGTCACCCAATTGCAATGAAAAACAAATATCTTCATCGCTTCCGTTCCTCAAGGAAGCAAGATTCTCAGAAACTGCCTTATCTGATGGACTGTCTTGATGTAAAGGTGACCGCCTGGTGAAGCTTGGAATAAACTGATGCTCCACACTGGGGCCGGCCTTGACACCATCTTCCAAGTGAAAGTCGGTTTCCATTAGTGTTGGATTTGTTTCTGGGCTGTGGTGTTCGACTTCCAAAGGGATATGCTGAATCTGAAGGCCTAGTGGCTCGAATTTGTCTTCAGCTTTGTCCTTCAGAGCCATTCCATCAGGGGGTGAGGAATCCCCTACGGTAGAGCCAATTGCTGTTGCTGAGGCAGCTCGTTGTTCTTGCACTGCCACTAATAACAACAAAAATACAAACATATCATTATGAACATTGTTTATGTCTTTTAACCAGTTCATCAATCTATTCATGCATGCCTGTTTTAGATTCATCCTCAAATTTAGTCTTTACATCTGTTCAACGCTAGAGATGGCAACTGCTGGGGCGGGCCGAGGATCACCATCCCCGTCCCCGTCCCCAATTTTATTAAGCATGTTGACATCAAATGAGTTTCCTTTTTACATAAAACCAGATATCTAATGGAAATTTGACAATGGAAGCATTGCATGAGCAATATATGCAGATTATATGTGTGTGTTGGTGTCTCGCTCTCACTCTCTCACAGACACACATATAAAAGCACCAACAATTAGGCATTCTGGAATGCACTTACCTTTAAGCCCTTCATCAGTAGTGATGATATCAAGTTCAAGTAGGTTGAGAAGGCGCCCAAGATCAACACCACTTGTCCAATTTTCCGGAGGTTGCCCAACTTTTAACTTAAGTCGACCACGGTTAGCAGTCCCACCCCAGATGATCCCTATAGCCCGTGGTTTTTCACCATTCTCACCCTTCATTAAAATAAGGCTTCCACTATCTCCCTCAAGATCAAAAGTCTGTTGGTTTTCACCCACAACAAGGAAATCAGTCAAGAAGCATATGCCTTTCTCATCATTGTATTCGAGAGCGTAGGCCAACACAGTTCCAGTTGTCAGGCCAGAACTTCTTCCAACCTTCATTACTTGCTTGCCTATAAGGCTACTTATAGGACACTGCAAGTCTATAATTTTGACATCACCAATCTCTCCCACGCCTTTCACAGATGTAGTGACAGTAGACATGTCAAAATCATCAGTAAAGGGGATGAATGCTCCATCTGCTCTCACAAATGTCTCTGCATGTGCACAGTGCAACAAGTCATAGCAAGAAAGTCTCAAGATCAGGAAGCAAGATGATATCAGATTTTTTTACATAAATCATGAAAAGGTAAAATATATAAAGTAAAAGTGACCAAGATTATTTAATAGCCGTTAAGACAATACAAGAACAGAAGACGAGAAAGGGAACTGGGAAAAAAAAAAAAGAATAACACAGACGTTTTATGAATAAGCTACTATGCAAAGCTTAAATACAATAAATTGCCATATTTGTGTTTAAAAAATCTATCTTCAAGATGGTACTAGAGAACATAAGGAAAGCTATCCTAGGGAACATTATATACAAAATAGCATCAGAACAGATATTTGATCTGGAGAGGTCAAAGTTTTATTTAATTTTCGAAGGGCTTAAAATATTCATTTCATTGGATAGGTAGCTCATTCAGTGAAATTTTCAGTTTAAAAAGTTTTTTGAGTTAGGCTAACAAGTGACTTGAGATAGTTGATTTTAGTTATAAGTTGCTGGTTGGGATTGTAGTGAGTTATGTCAAAGAGTAAGTCATTAAAGTTTGTTTTGATTAGGGAAAAAATCTTAATGAACTTGTAATGATGTTCCAGAAGACGACTTTAGAAAATTTTGAGTCTCCAAAAAAGGGTATTTTTTTCCTTAATCCAGATTTTGTAAAACCTTCAGATTGAGAATTTAAAATAAGTGATTATATTTTGGCTAGCTGTTTTAAGAAGTGAAACTATTCAGAAAATATATATATATATATATATTTTAGTTTATAAAACATGTTTGGATAACTGTGTTAGTAGATCCTGCTTAAATTGCATCCTTCTTGATTATGTTGTCTTTGAACTTAAGGTTTTGAAGGAACATGGAGATTTCAGACTTGGTTATTATGTACAATAGTTGAAATGAACATTTACTAAAATATTGCATTACTATGTAAATTATTNATATAGTTTATAAAACATGTTTGGATAACTGTGTTAGTAGATCCTGCTTAAATTGCATCCTTCTTGATTACGTTGTCTTTGAACTTAAGGTTTTGAAGGAACATGGAGATTTCAGACTTGGTTATTAAGTACAATATTTGAAATGAACATTTACTAAAATATTGCATTAATATGTAAATTATTCAATGTATTATTGACTGATCTAGAACCTTTACGAAAATTCAAAACAAAAATTGTTTTGGATTTGGCTCTCAATCTTACTAGCTTTAGAGTCCCCTATTAGGAGTTAAAATCAGTACCTTAATTACTTAAGCTTTGTAAGTTTTGGGCCTTATACTGACATATATGTGAAATTTTGGACTTTCCAGTCAAAGGGTTAACTGGGTCACAGGAACAAGTGTGGTTGTAGTTATCTAGACTTCGGTTTTCCACTACTATACTCTACTATGTTTTGAAACACCAATTTCATATGACATTGATTTTTCCCACACATTGTTACTATGTAATAGCATGAGGTCCTAGTTTGGCATTCATGTAAAAGGGCTTCTACTTTTGAGGTTTTAAAATCATAGTTAGAATTTCGTTTATATTTAAGAAATTTGAGAATAAATGTTAGAAGTTAGTCTGCTTTTGTGTGTTAATATATGCCTTTTCCACTAAATCCTTTTTTATACTTCTTATGGGTTGAAATTTTTAGTTTATTACGACTTGAAGCTTGTTGAAGTAGACCTACAAGTATGTGGCCGGTTGTCATCTACGTCATCATGTGAGGGGTGTGGTTGTTAGGGGCATGACAGTAAGACTTGTGACAACATTTTATCGTCTAAAGAAGAATGGCCTTAAGTAAATACTATTACATTCAATTGGCCATACAAGGAAAATGTCAGGTTGGAATTCCTATATGACTTAATATTACAAATTACAAAATCTGTTTAAGTCTCTAAATAATGTTAATACAGAACATATGTATAAAATGACACAGGATAATTACGTAATCGTCTGGATTATTTAGATGGGTTTCTTGGATAGATAAGCAGATTACAAGAAAAGAGAAATTAAAAATGACTTTTGGATCCCTGGCATGTACCATGTACCTCCAAGCTCAATTTAGAGCTGGCATATATAGTGCTCACTATCTACACATATTTGTAGCCCTCCAATTCTACTTAAACCTATTCATTTGGCATATTCTCAATTTCACTGAGCATAGTTGCAAAACAAGTGACAAATGGAAGTTTGAGCTATTGAAATATAATTAAAGGAGCATAATCTACAAAGAACTTGAAATTTGTCTTCCAAACTAATTGTATATTACTTTAAACTGTCTTACCTGGATTCATTCCCGCAAAAATGCCATACCAAAGGTCGTCTGTGATGAATGATGTTGCTCTCTCCACTGCACCAAGATATACCCCAGGTCCAAGTGTTGGAGGCAAAGGATGAAACATCTTCTGATTTGGGTAATCTAAGTCAACTGCAACATGCCGATTTGTAAGAAAACCAACTTGTCTAGTGCCAGTTTGGCTTTTGACAATTGCACCTAGAGTTCCGTATGTTTCCTGGTTTGCTACCTGAAAAAAGCAACATGTACTGTATATTACTAACAATCATCATATGAATCATATAAGATGAGAATCATCGGTAATTAAAGTTGTGCCTAGTGGAAAAAAAAAAAAAAAAACTGGAAAAAAAAAAAGAAATATAATGGACTGTTCATGAACCAAAAAAAGGACATGAGTGAATAATGGTACACTAGACTGATTGCCACATAGAAATTAACAACCCATGAAAGAGAAGCATTATTTCTGTCTACTCAGATTTTACGCTGCTCACAGGTGAATAATCAAAATGATATACTCAAAACGAGGAAAAAAAAAACATATATACCTGATAGCCAGACTCATTTACAGAGAGAAAAAACTCTCATATTCTCATCTATTATTGGTCTATCAGAAAGGGGAAGGTTGCAGAGGAACTTTAGAATACCTGAGAGCCTGAACCAATACAGGGATCACCACCACGCAAATCATCCACAATTTCAGTGTACAACTGTTCTGTTGGAGTTGGCTCAGGTGCACCAAAATATGAAAACTCTACCACATCCACATCACACCATACACCTCCAGGTCCCTGATTAAATATTAAGATATCAACTATTAATAAACCTGAGTAAGATAAAATGGAAATGGGGGAACCCCAATTTCTTTGTCACCTGCTCAAAAATACATGAGGAACCAATAAAGAGATAGGATAGAAAGTAAAACTGAGCATCCTTTCTTAACCTCTAAGGCAGTGGGTAGACACTGTATGGGGCTGAGCCATTGCTTGTGAACTTTCCTGGAAACAAAAACAAGAATAGCTGGTATGTCAGTCAACACACCACGTTTAATACGAAACCCTATTGCGGTGCCTAGACTGTAACATCGCAGGATTTTGCTATGAAATGCCCTAATAGTCATCAGCTCCAGCAACGTATTTGCTTGCTGTCCTTTTGGTAATCTATTAAGATTTTCAGGTAACACCCCTTTTTGTAGATTAGCAAAATAGTTTTCCCTCTCTTCAGTTGCCTCACTTCGGCTAGGCCATGAGAAGTAAGCAGCACTGTTCTCAGAGTGCTGTCCAGCTGAAGCAAAAGGTTGAAGTGTTGGTGGACTTAATGAAGGTAGATTAGGATGACTGCAACAGTTTCTTTCAAAATCCAAAGCTGATTCTTCTGATGGTGTAGAACCAGAATAGCGAGCCCTAGTACTAAGTCTGCTCCGCTCCATTTAACAGACTACAAAAGAATTAGTCAAAAAAACAGATCATGAATGATGATTCAATAAAAAAATTTACCCAAAAAAAGAAGAAACATATGCAAGTTAACTTTGCACAAAGACTGAAAGTTAAAATTATTCTTTGATAATTGTATCAAAGTTTGAAAAGAACCAGAATTGAAGCAGTCTACTTTGCACGTTAACTAAGGTAACAATGAAACAATTTGAAAACATGGAAATGAAAGATGTTCAAATAAATGTCCTCAACTACGCCACGTGATTTTATAACGACAATATACGTTGCACCATTTGCAAAATGCAGTACTCTTTTGCATTCAAGTTCATTATTGTTATCCACCACGGGTCCAAAAATTTCACATTCATTAATGAGTCAAATTCACTCCCAGCACCAACATAAGTCTCCATGCTTGAACCAAAATAATAATAATAATACAGGGTGTTTTGCCCCATTACAAAATCCTATATGTATCCATTAAGGTCCGGATATGACAAGGCATGGTTCCAATGTAATCAACAACTGTGATACACCATACAGATGCTACAAAAAATTACTTACTACTGCAGTTTATCTACCAAAAATGTACAGAGAAGAATGATTAAAACACCAGAGTTACATCTCTGTTAACAAAATCCAAAACTGAAAATTACTATAAGAGTTCCAGTAGTAAAAAATTCCAACGTGTTGTTCTCTAGCTTCTAACGAAACGAAAAGCTCAAATACATTCAATCATTTGGATCCAAATACACAACCTCAAACACTTGAAAACTTGCTCTTTTCAATAAATAAATTAATAGAGTGGGATTTTGAACACAGACCTCTTGATCAACCTGGCTCTAAAACACCATTATCCCAAAAAATTCAACTTATAAACAAACAGTTTAAAAATAAAAATACAAAAAAAAAGAGGCCGACCATAGTATGTAAATTATGGCATGCCCCTCATCTGTAAGGCTTCCAACATAAGATTCTAGATCAAATATATTCTAGTATCAAATCAAACTTGGGTAACCAGTAATCCCTTAAGCTTACAGCCACTATTAAACTACCCAAATAACACTATTTAAACTATAACATACTTCAACACAAAAACTAGGAAAATATTTTACACTACACCAAAAGGGGCCAAAAGAAAATGAACATTTCTATTTTTCCACCATCTGACTTTACTAATGTACCGTGTATGAAAAAAATTTCATTTCTTGAATTAAAAAGCTTTCTCCTTTCATATTCAAGATTCAAACTATCGCTTCTATTTATCCAAACGGTTTATACAAACAAAGAAAATCATCAAGCTCACACAAAAACATGCAAAATTAACTACCACTTGAAACAACAAACAACAAAAAGAAGCAAACCCGGAAAGCAAAGTCAAGCTTTATCATAGAGAGCTTCAAAACAAGCAAATTCATGCATGAAAAGGGCACAAAAGAGGAACGAAAACAAAAAGAAGACTCACTGATGAGGAGTTGAAAGATGGTAAAGAAAAGGACAGGTGGGGTCAATTTAGAGGGTGAAACACGTCAGTTAAGAACCCAATTTGAAGAAGAAGAAGTTGGGAAGTTGCAGAGATTCGGTAAGTTACATTATTTGCAGAAAAAAAAAAGAGAGCTTTTTTGGTTTTGGTTTTGGTTTTGGTGGACACAACCATGAAAGCCAAAACTTCGATAGTACAATAACACCATAGACAATGTGGTAAAGTTAGTCAGGTAATTTTTTGTTTATTAAATTTGTTAATGACAAATATTCCCCCGAGGTTTGATTAAATAACAAAATTTCCTTGAGGTTTCTAAACTAACAGAAATTACCCTACTGTTAGTATTTACTATTTAGGCGTTAAAATCAACGGTAAAATGGCAATTCGGTAAATATCAGTTGACCCATAACACCTTATACTCTAACGTTTCACTAATGACACGGGTGTTTTCGTCACTATTTTAAAAACCAAACCGGAGGGTAACCCACTCTGTTGCTCGGCTCACAGGTCAACCGATCCAACTGGTTGGATCGTCGGTTGGAGTGGTGACATCATCATGCTAACGTTAGCATGATGACGTCAACACTAAAAAAAAAAAAAACCTACTTTTTTTTTAAATTTTAAGATTTCCATTTTTTAATAAGACAATAACAACTTAATTACTGTTCAATATGATTCAAAGTTCAAATTCAATAACAATCACAACATAATTTAAGTATTTAACAAACATCCAAAGTCCAAATCCAAACATGATGTTGTGTTCATCCATTACATATTAAATGACAAAATACATAATAATTAATAACAAAACATTTGATGCAAGTGTATTTTCTTTGATCCGTCTCCATGTTGATTAAGCTTCACACACTAGCATCAAAATTCATCATCATCATCACCATCACCATCATCATCATAATCATCACCATCATCTATATAAATTTTAATAAAAAATAGAAATCATAAGTTAAAACTTGTAATTTAATTTAAAATAGATACTAAGTTGCTTAAATATTTGAAACAAACCTTCTAAACCATCGGTTGAATCATAAAAAGAAAGGTGATTAGCAACTCCAGCAGGAATAGATCCTTCTCCATATAACATTTGTTTCAACTCCTCATAATTAAGTTCACTGACCTCCTCTTCATCGTCAACTATCCAACCTTTAGTTTTGTCGATACTTTCATAATCAATAGAATCGAAACATATTTTCTTGTAACACCTCCTAAAATACCATAATGAAATATTAAAAGTATGACAAGTAAAATAATAGATAATAACAATAAGAGTGATGCATAATATAAATTAATCAGATCAAAGCATATAACAGGATAAAATGATGTGCCTTTTAAATGTATTTTTCAAGTTTAACAAAACCAATTGGCCCTCTTAAGTTATCAAAGGTAAACAAAAAACAGGTCAGATTGTAAGTGCAAGAGAGAGAGCGATAATTCTTCCTCATAAATAAAATCTAGGCATAAACTTTTAACCTCTGTTTGGTCCTCTTACATCTTTATAAAATATGTGGCATAACTTATGTTTTAAAGCAAACAAAGAAGGGGAAAAAAATGAGGTCATTAGCAATAACTATGATATTTTTTTCTAATCCTGAACATTTGTGACTGTCTTTAGGCCAAGATCCTGTTACTTACCATGTTCAAGTACCGAAATGATTTTAATCTTCTCTTTTAAATGGTTTAAAATGTTTCTTATAGGATAACCATGCGATGAAGAAATGAAAAAAAAAAAAAAGCAACCGTATTCCAAGTTCCTCAAAACCACTATATGTAAGAATCACCTTTATAATGTTAGAGATCTGGAATTAGCCATCACCTGTCATCTTCTTCTTCAGGTGCAAGGTTGATTTCCTCTTCTAATGATGCCTGATCCAATGAAATAGCAATAAGCTTTTTCGTCAAACACATTTCAGCTATGTCATTGTCATCATCCAACAAATGTTTTTGAGCGCATACATATTAAAAAGAGGAATAGATTGGAGCATCAAAGGTTGAATGATCTTGTTTTTGTTCACTATAACTTACATTTGCAAAATAGGTATAAAACATTGTCAATTACTCAATTATGCATCACTCTTATTGTTATTATCTATTATTTTACTTGTCATACTTTTAATATTTCATTATAGTATTTTAGGAGGTGTTACAAGAAAATAAGTTTCGATCATATTGATTATGAAAGTATCGACAAAACTAAAGGTTGGATAGTTGACGATGAAGAGGAGGTTAGTGAACTTAATTATGAGGAGTTGGAACAAATGTTATATAGAGAATGATCTATTCATGCTGGAGTTGCTAATCACCCTTCTTTTTATGATTCAACTGATGGTTCATAAGGTTGGTTTCAAATATTTAAGTAACTTAGTATCTATTTTAAATTAAATTACAAGTTTTAACTTATGATTTCTATTTTTTACTGAAATTTATGTAGATAATGGTGATGGTTATGATGATGATGATGATGGTGATGGTGATGATGAATTTTGATGCTAGTGTGTGATGCTCAATCAACATGGATGCTAGTGTGTGAAGCTCAATCAACATGGAGACGGATCAAAGAAAAAACACTTGCACCAAATGTTTTGTTATTAATTATTATGTATTTTGTTATTTAATATGGAATGGATAAACAAAACATCATGTTTGGATTTGGACTTTGGATTGTTGTTAGATACTTAAATTATGATGGGATTGTTATTGAATTTAAACTTTGAATCATGTTTAACAGTAATTAAGTTGTTATTGTCTTAGTATTGATGTCATCATGCTATTATCAGCATAGTGACATCACTAGTCCAACCAACGATTCAATTGGTTGGAACGATTGACATGTGACTTGAGCAGCAGAGCGGGTTGTCCTCCTGTCTGAGTTTTAAAATAGTGGTTCTGATTTGGAAAATAGGAGTTTAAACCCATCTCTTCAATTTCATCAATAGTTTCATTAATAATTAATTATTGTTTTTTTTTTATCTTTGTTAAAGATATGATTGACTTTTCCATTATTTCACAAAATGACAACTATCTTCCTTCTTTCTTTTCTCTTTTTCCTTTTATCGCCTTTCTCGCTTTTTATTTCCATTTTGTTTTCTCGTATCTCCAACCAAGTCAAATAATGGAAAAGCAACCTGAGGAGCTGCAATAGAAGTAGGCATGGCAATTCCGGGGCCCATCACGGGGCAGAGATTCCCCGGTTTTGGAGAGGATAGGGGTAGGGACAAGATTAGACCAATTTATAGTGATATTTTACGTAAGAATAACTTTTATATAGTTATACAAATTCTAGTTTCAACTTGAAATAGTTATAAATAAGAATAAATTTTATATTATAATAAGTTATAATTTTTCTAATTTTCATTTTAAGAAAGTTATCTCCACATAATAATAATTATTTGTATATTACAAAAGAAAAAAATATATGTCATATTACATTAAAGGTTTAAGATGAAATAAAACATTTATTTAAAATTCTTTGGGACAATGATTTATACTTTAGAGTTATTACCACATCTTTTAACTTACAGGTACGTAATACATCGCTAGCATGGATACCTTGTGGGTATGTAATACCTCTCTAGCATGGATACATTTTTGTTGAAGCTAAAATATTTATAGTTTCTTAAGCATGTTTAGAGTTTTTTGGCACGAAACTTTTTGTATATTCGTTTTATCATTCTTAAGATTATTCCCTTTATCTTCTTGTCTAATTACAACAATGACTACTAAAACAATGAATTGAAATCCTTATATATACTATTAAAACGTGAATTATAAAATAAAAAATCAAAATAGTAATTTTTGTAACTACACCTCTATTAAGTTATAACCTTCTTATACTGTATATAAAATAAAAAATCAAAACAGTAATGCTTAAATGGTTTTTGTTTTGTTTCTTCAGTTGGTGTAATTTATCAAATACATAATGAGTCTGTATTTTGGACAAGTGCAATGTCTTAGCTCAAGTTTAGACGATTAACTTAAGTGTTTGTCATGTGGGAAAAAGAATTAACTATTGTGTTTGACAATG